TTATAAAAAGTAAATTAGGATTGGATCCAGATCTAGAAAATACTGACAGCTTGTTTCAATCTTTTAAATATGCTTTTCACAAAGATTTAAGAAATGGATGAAGATTTGACAATATAGAGAGATGTGCATTCAGAATCTCAAGCTTAAAAATAACTTGATTTGCAGGCTGTCAGTATTAAATATTTAAGTAATACTTATTATTGCTCTCTTCAGCATCTTGCATGCCAAATTTCATGTCATCATCAGAATTCAATCACAATAAGTTATTGAAAAGAGTTGAGCAGTAGCTATAAAGCTGCTGCATGTTCTGAATTAAATGAAGCTCAATTTTCAATCAGACATCTTCAAGAATCAACAGTAATATTCACTTGAAGCTTTCTTAAGAAAGCAAAATCTTCTCAACATCTTATTTATTAGTTTTTTGAACAAGTTTTTGTATTCTCAATACTTGTCTTCATCAGTAAGAATACTGCAGTTATTTAAAAGAGTATATTTCTTTGCTTGCTCTGAATAGTGAATTTCAATATGCATGTTCAGTCAATTCTTCAAGATCTGCAGAGCTTTGATTTTCTTTTATAATTTACTGAATCCATCAGTGTCAGCTTGATCTGCAATATCTGACATTGCAGCAAGAGATTGAATAGTTGAAGATTAATGACTGACTACTGATAATGTCTGTAATATTATATATACTGATTTAACTGCACATGCAGCTGTATTAATTAGCATCTACAGGCTCTTTCAGACTGTTACAATTGTAGCTTGTAGCTGATCAATTGTGCAGTTTATAGATAATTGTGATGCTAAAAGAGAATTACTCCAAGCAATTGCTGCAAAAACTTGAATAATCAAGCTTATTAGATCAGTCTCTATCTTGAAGATGACTGATATAAATCAGCAAACTGCTGAATTTATTCAGACAGTTTTCATAAAGCATCAAAAAAGAATCAGAATAATAATAGATGCTCAGACATGCTCTTGTAATTGATAGAATTTCAAATGAGTTAATGATGACTGTAGTCAGACTCATTACTATCAGAATGAAAATCTCTGCAGCACTCAGCAGTACTTTTTCTGATTAAACTGAGATAGAATTGACAGCAATAGAGCATGAGCTATCTTGAAGATTTCAGAGAACTCACTGTGGCATGAATCAGAGAGAAAGAATGTAGTGAAATTCAGAAATAAACAGATCTTTAAATAGAGATGTCTGCTCTGTTGTTATTTTATACTCTTTATAGAGATTTTCTTTGACAGATGTAGTTGCTGCTGAATTAATCTTCTCACATTATTATAATATATTAAAGTGATATCAGTCTTTTGTGAGAGTATTAAACATCATGTCATGTCTCTCAATATCAGAAATCATGCAGCTTCAACAAGAATAAATGACTGTTGATCTCTTAATAGTCATGTTGTCATTCTGTTGCAGCATATCTTTAAGAAAGAATATGCAGAATGCCACAACACAAATTTAATCTTTCATATTAATTGTAATATCTCAATCAAGCAATGTCAAATCAGATGCCAATGTCTCAACAACATCAGAGAAATTAGTGCCATGCAGTCCAAGAGTCAATGTATAAATGTTGTTTCTTTTTGACTGCTTGCTTGTGTTGAGACCCACAGAAATCATATAGAAACTCATGAGACTGTAATATATATTGTGATAGAGTTCAAATTTATTAATGAAAAGCTGATATGATAATAAGATTATCTTCTTGACATCAGTGGATTTTCTGAACATCTTCTCTAGAATATTGTCATGTCAGATTCTAACACTAGACTCTTTAGATCTTAATAGCACACATCTTGCTTGTATATAATTTCTCAATGCTGTCTCTGTTCTTACATGGGTCAGTGATGAGCTTTATCTACTCATAATATATACTATATACTTGCTCCCACTGCATATTTCTTTATATTCTTTATACTAGTAGCTCATTTCTGTTCTGATTATATGTTCATTAGATCTAGCTTCTCACAGTTCTCATTGCTTTCTCTCATTATAAGAGATGATCTGTCAGACAGACTGCTACCAGCACTTGCATTGAACATTAATGTAATGTATGACTTTTCATTGAAAGAAATAATGCAAAACACTCTTTATCAACAAGATGAGCTGATGAATTCATGAAAAGACTTCTGGAGACACTCACTCAATATCTGATCTTTTAATACTACTGAAACATCAGAAAATCTCTGAACAGCTGAGGCTATTCATGCAATTTCTCATGAGAGTGAATGAAATTGAAATTGTACTGCAAACAGTTAAGCTTAGTACTCATACTGACTTCTCTTCATCTGAACAGCAGAATGTGTTTCAAGATATTAAAACATACACAAGCTGCACTCTTGCTGCTTCTGCAAACAATCTGTTGAATATTAAGAACAATAATCAAGATGAAGTCTTACTTGCAAAATTAAGTAAAGAACTACAAGTTCTGCAACAGAAAAAATATATTCAAGATCTGCAACAGAAAATCAATGCAATGTGTGCAATTATAGAAAGAAGAATCACTTCAATGAAGAAATTCTCTTGCTACATGATTTCAATCTTCACTCCATATTAATCAAGACTGAAAAGAATGCTACACACATGAAATCTAAATGAATCTCTGCAAGAAGCCATCACTCAGATGGTCACATCTTCAGAAAGTCACTCAAATGTTCAGACTGAAACAGATGAAGCCTCATGACTATAATTATTAAATATAGTGAATGCAGATAGAGCTTTAACATGCAAGAATAATAAAAAGTTTGCAGTCAAGAATCTTAAAGAACTTGAGAAATTTCTAGATTAATGCATGATATTTTATGCATATCAAGCAGTGTACTTTAGAGACCATGATGACTGCAAGATGCTTGAAGCAGTATAATATTTAAAAATCAAGCTTCTCATCAAGTAAAATCACCACACTGCTGCTTTAATCATTCTATTCTCATAAACTAAATTCAGTAATTGACTCTCATAACAGATTATGAACTCTGAAAGAGTCTTCTGAAATGCTGAGCATAAATATCTTAAGCTGAAACAGTAAGATAATTAATTCATTCATGACTTCAGCAGCACTCTTGAGTTATTTGAACAGCAACTCTCATACAAATACACAGAGAAACAGTGCAAGATGCATCTTGTTTGCAAAATTCTCTTAAAAATCAGATCTGAATTTAACAAACATGTTGTCACCATTGACAACTTGTTCTATAAAGAACTTGTCACATGACTGATCATTTGTAAAGATAACATTAAAAAATACACAGAGAAACTTAAGAAAAGTGCAAAGAGCTTTTTAAAAAAACTGCAAAAGAAAGAAAAACTCAACTCTTATAAGTACAAGATTATAAGTGATAAATCATGATGCAATCTTCACAAAAGACCAGAACACTTTATTAAAGAATGCTTTCTCAGAAAAAAGCTGAAGGCAAATTCAAAAAAATTTACAGATAAAGTATTAAAAAATAAATGAAGAGAGCTATCAATGCTGCAGTAGCTCTCAATCTTTATAAATTGTGACATGTCAGTTCACTTTCATTTTTCATTATAATTCAGATCAAAACTCCTGAGAGCATTAAAGATGTGCTTGTCTTAATGAACTCTGAAGTGGAAACCAATTTTGTGAGTTAATTTTAAATCAAGTTACAAGATCTAATGTCAAAATTCATGATGCTGAAGTTAGTTAAAGTCATTGATAAACATCAAGTATGAATTTTTAAAATATATGATCTTGTGGTCAGTGCAACTGATCACAAGAGAACAATGCAAGAAGCA